CCCCCCTGTAGCCGGGGGGGGCTTTTGGGGGGGGGTTTGGGGGGCCCTGTGGTGTGGGGGGGGGCGCCGGTGTTTTCGGCCCCCGCTTTGGGGGGGGGGGGGGGGGGCCTCGTTTGGGGGGGTTTTTTGGCGTCAAGCAGTTCTTTTTGGGTTTGTTGAAGTTTGGGGGGGCCTCGGTGTTTTTTGCCCTCTTGGGGTGTTGGGAGATCCCGGCCGGGGGTTTGTGGGGTTTTTTTTTTTTTTTTTTTCGACCGGGGGGGGGGGGGGGGGGGGGGGTTTTTGTGGGGCCCGTGGGGGGGGGGGGGGGGGGGGGGGGCACTGCTGGCCAAGTGACCTCAAACGAGCTAACGCCTGACTCAGCGAGCGAGGGCCCCCTGAGAAAGCAGCAACATTTCAAGCACACAACAACTGCGCCTCTTTCTTTGGTCTGTTCTGTTAACCCCAGCCCCCGCATTCCCCTATCTCGGTAGTTAGTTGATGGTGCTTACGGTGACGTTGGTCATGTACTCCTTGGTAGTGAAGATCAGCTCGTGGTAGGTCACGTAGTCCGGGGTGTACCCCAGCCCCGACAGTGCGGAAGAAGGGTGCAGAGCGCAGGGCATTCCTGGAAGTACAAGACAGAGGCATCACAATCAAGGTGGGGGGTGGGGGGGGGGAGGATTGCGGGAACGGCTCAGCAGAGCGGCAGCAGATTCAGCAGCGGAAGCATCTCGAGCCCCATGTCTGCATCATGTTCTCGATACCACGTCTGGATTGTGGTCTAGATGCCATGCCTGGGATCATGGGCACGCTGACTGCCACGGCAACTCTATCATTCACGGAGCATGTGTTGCTGTTCTTTGTTTGATTCGAAGCCCACAACAGCCGCAACCCGAGTGCAACGAAAAGGTCAAACGTCGCCCCTCGGGGAATAGACTAGCGTTGCCCTCGCAGGAACGATTTGAAGAGTAGATGCCGTGTGCGTGCTTTTTTGTACTCGGGGGTGGTCACACTTGTACCGATGCGCTCGTGAAGAGAGGGTTCACGATAGGGAAGCAAATCACGACGCAGGCGTTGTACGGCGGAGGCTTGGTAGGCTCTTCATCGTGTACCAGGGATCAAAGAGAGAGCGAGAGACACACTCACATATGTTGAGAGGGGGAGGGGCGGAGGGGAGCGGCGTACGTGCGTGCGTCCGTGTTCATGATGAGACGACACAAACTGGGTCTGAATATGAACAACCAGTGAAGGTCAAAAGCACAAACCAGATTACAGGCAAAAACGGTGGTGGGGGGGGGGGGGGGGGGGCAGACAATCCCGCGAAAGACGGCAAAAAGATGAAACCATCGTGGCGGGCCTTGAGAGGAGACGGAGAGAAACCAAGCAACGTGTGTCGACCGCCTGCCCCTGGTGACGCACCGGTAAGCATGTTGACGTACTCCCCGATGCCCTTGATCTTGGCGCTGTTGTAGAAGTACGCCGAGCAGATGGCCTTGCGAACGGTGTCCCAGTTCGCCTGCCCGCACGACTCGTGGCCGATGCGCTGCTGCCGCATGATGTCCAGCAGCTGCAAAACACACGCACACACGCACACACGAACGAACGAACGCCAACACGAGAGGAAGAAATA